CTTGACTTTGAATTTCACAACTTCAGCTAAGTGGAGCGATTTACAGGATCTTGACTCTCCAAGCCAAAATTTCTGCATTATGGCAGGAACGAGGCACAATGGACATGTGCAACAACACAGTGGTAATGATGAAAATTGCCTTCGGGCTGCGCTGTTGGAGTGAACAACAGAGGAAGAATCTATTTTGTACGTACATCAGTGGCAGGTACACAGACACCCACACATGTACAGTGCACTAAAATACTGACATTGATTTATACACATGCGCAGAGACTCGTGCACACACAGCTCGATAGGTGGTCTGACAGAAGTGGTTTATTGTGCATGAATGCTCCTCAAATTTCACTGTGTTGCATCAGCCAGCCAACTGTGTTTTTGCTAAATTAGCTGCCCTTGTTTCCTAGAACAAATGCAATACCAGAGTGTGCAGTGTAAATGGAACTTAGATCACACATTTAAAAAGGAACATTCACACTCACTTTTTTTGTCTGTTATTTTTGACATAACGAGCACACCATATAAGACCTGCATATATAAAACATGAATAATACATTGTTAAGGTAGAATTAGAGCACATTTATCACAGTGTGCTTATAAGGACAAACAGTATCTTTTTTGAATAGTAGTTTAGTTGATATGTTGCTCACCACATTTACAGCTTTTTATAAAAACTGCTGCTATATGACCATAACGGAACATTTTGGACTAATTACTTCACGATTACATTTGAACTTTACGTTCAGGTTAATCAAGTCACTTGGGGATTTGCATTTTTTAAAATGATTTATCCAGTTACAGGTTCATTTATTACATTTGTTGTATTAGTATTTTTTTCAATTGCAATATTTACATCAAATCAAAATGTCAAAACCATCAGCGGACATTGTATCAAGAATACACATTAAGGCATACTTACATCTAGATACCTCAAAACGTATCTTCCATCTGAAAATATAAATTTTGTAATAATTCAGTAACGATTTGCGATTGTGTCATGAAGTATGGAAAACTTATTTCTGATGAAAATACACCCATGGATTGTTTTAAAGTGAGGTCTAACCTGTCATAAAACACTATGTGAAAAAGTCTGATTATACAGATATGGAGATGAGGCTTCGGAGCACCGTCAGCTTCTGACATTCACTTTGTTTGACTAATTAAATGATTAATCATTTCATTACTTATTCATTTATTTGTTCATTTATTTACTCATTTCATCAGTCATTCACTGAATCACATAATGTGATACAAACACATTAACACCTTCATACATTAATTACATCATTCAGGCATAATAACTCAACAGTTTATGTTGTGACATTTTTGGTTGTTGTTGTATTTTCATTCTTCATATGTCACCACAGATTTGTTTGTCCACCAATAGCACAAGGGATATTGTCTGTCTGTCTCTTTTCCTCATGACAAAAGGTCAGATCTGCACACAGAGAGAAACATTAATACATTTGACAATTTTAATGGTGCTGAAGCAAAAGAAATGTGTTTACAGTTGGAAACATGAGTAAACACAAGGGAGGTCCGTGCATACTGGCCGTCGACATCTTTTATTCAGGTGTGTAAAGGCATCACAGAGCCTGCGACAGAGTAACAGATGTGTTATTGTTTCCCTAACGTGTCAAGCAGCCACATAATGAGTGAGCAGTTCAAGTGACCCAGCAGCAGAGTCAGGACAGCAGAGTAAATGAAAGTTGTGATTGACAACTGCAATATTCATGATATATTAACTCTCTGGAGCAGTGTCAGAGGACTGCAGCATTCTGTGTATATTTATCTGCATACATCCTGATGTGTAAAAAATATATAGTAACATTTATGCAACATAAAACAGTTAAAGCAAATAAAAGTCAAATATTTATTTTGTCTTCTGTTGTTTTAGTATCTGTTTATTTCATCGAAACGTTCTCATTCTTGGGCGTAGGTGACAATGTGAATGTTTCATCATTCTTCCTGCCTCTTTTTCAAATAATGAAAAAATATTGTTCTTTTTTAAAAATTCAGGAAGCAACAAATGCTTCTTTCATGCATGCTTTGACACGTGCAACATGCACACACATCCAGATGTGCACACACTGCTGTCAGGTCTGGTTTCTGCAGTGAACCTACTAACTTTGCCTTTAATCACAGTACAGAGAATGAGTGCAGGGCATAGTGACAGTTTCCCAAACACTGAATAAACTCACAGACTGATGATATTTTTAGCTATTGCATAAGATTTTTTTTTTACATAATTTGTCTGATAGTTTGGGTGGTGCTGTTTTTTCGTATTGTCTTCAATTTTGTGTCACATATTGTTCTGAGCGATTTGTCAAAGTCTGGTCTTGTTTGCAATGTTTTGATCTAGATTCTATTCTATTCTATTCTACAGTAGCACAAAGGAAAGTGTGTACTTCATTTCGTTATCGTTACATATCCAGTGCCAGAATTCAACCTCCAGCCCTTTGTGGATATTTTTAATTCTTTGACAGTTTTCCAACAGAAACTGTCTCAGACAGAGTGCTGGTAACAGTTGTGGCTGTACATTGTGTTGCGTTCTGTTGTTGTGTATTATATCTCTGCATTGTTTATTTTAAGATGGTCGTTTTTAGTTTGTATTCCATTCCACCCTGATTTCCTATGCCATGTTCTTCTTTTTTGTGCTCCCCGTTGCACCGCATTTGTCTGTTTCTATCTGACTCCATCCTGACCTTCATGCTATCTGCTGCATTTTTAGTATCAGGTGCAGTGAGTGACAGTTATTGGTCTGGTGTCAGTGGCTAAGGCTCAGGCGTTACCTCTCTTTAAGGCTGATCTCATTTCCTGCACACTTCCTCTGTGGGGTTAACGGCTGGCAGGCTCATGCACACTCTGGCTGAGGTGCACATAGCAGGGGAAACAAAATAGCAACCATCGCTGTCATGGGAGTTAACAAGTAGAATATA